TAGGAATGCTCAGCATTTGTCTCTGTGTTGACCAGTTCTCTCTTTCTGTGAAGGGCTAGCTCACATCCTGAGATCATCTTTCTTGTCTTTCTTTCTTTAATGTTTTAATTGGTTTCAGAGAGGAAGGGAGGGAGAGAGAGAGAAACATCGATGATGAGAGAGAAACATCGATCGGCTTCCTCCCATGCACGCCCTGACAGGGAGTCGAACTCATGACCTTCTGGTGCACACGACACTCCAAACCACCTTGCCAGGCAGCCGGGCAATAGCTCTTAGTGTTAAATACACACTTGGCAACAGGTAACCGTTATCGGGCCCGGCATCACTCAGCCTCTGGCATCCACGCAATGCCTCAGTCACCAGGAAGCACAGTGGGTAGAACGCGCGGCGTGGGTTTATTTCTTTATAAACCGGCAGCCGTGAGCGGTTTATAACTTCCCTCTCCCTGACCTCAGTGGGCAAGCCCCACGCAGCTGAGAGGCTATTACACGCCCCTGTCCTGAGCAGCGGTGGGGGTGCTGCCTCTTCCCTGATCTGGGGGCAGCTGCCGCCCCCTGCAGGCCGGTCAGGAAAAAACGGACACCTGAGCAAAGGCAGATTCCCTGAAAGCCGCCAGCAGGACGCCTTCTGGTCTTTCACTCCCGGCGGCGGTTCGTAAAAGGATTTCAGTTCCTCCTGTTTCCTCCGCTGCAATGCAGAGCATGACCTCTTTCTCTTCCCTTTTAAGCTGTGCTAAGACACCCCCCCCCCCCCCAGCAGGCTGCAGATGCTAGAGGCACTCAAGTCTCTCCCTCCCTCCAAGTTTCCGAAGCGCCAAGATCTGGGACCAAGGCCCAGCCCACCTGACAGGTCACAGCAGCATCCAGGTGAGTGTCAACCCTCCTCCTCCTCCCGCAGCAAGAAAAATGGAAGCAGTCCCGCCTCCCTCTCCGCCGCCCCAGACGACGACCTCAGACAGTCTCCCCGGGCCTGAGGCTCAGAAACGAGGCCCCGACAGACAGACAGGACGTGAGCAAACCCCTTCCTGGGGGCTGGCCAGCGAGGTTGCCTGGCTCCATGTGGAGAAAACATTTGCGGGAAGGTCCTGCCCAGCAGCCGGCCTGTGAGCGGAGGGCCCCCCTCTCAACCCCCCCCCCCACCACCACCACCACCGGGAATCTCCCGGAGTTTCCTGCAGGCCCATCAGCCTGGGACAGACGAGGGGGCTGGACGGCTTCCCTCAGCTTTCATCCCGGGCGGCGGCTGGCTGGGCTCAGGGACAGCCGTTCCAAGTGGTTCCTATTGAGCTAGACGTCCACGGGGATTGCCAGGCCCTGGTGGGAGCGCATAGGGCCCGGACCTGCGGCGCGGGCTGGGGGGTCTGCTTGAGTCTCTCCGCAGCTCATTTCCTTTATTTTAATGTGCAGGCCGACAGGCTCACACAAACCCGCCGTGAATCACATTCCAATCACATTTAACCCCGAACACCCCCTCCCCCCCCCCCCGCCCGCAGCCCTCCCCATCCCTGTGCTGGGCCGCCCCCTCATGCCCTTGTGGCTGCATCACACCCGCCTGGGTGCCACCTGGCCCAGTCGCAGACCGTCCGGCCAGCGATTTTGCCGCCGACGGTGCTGAAGGGAGAATGTCCGCGGGGAAGGAGGAAGGAGGAAGGAGGAAGGAGGAAGGAGGAAGGAGGACGGCTGGCTTCCAGCCTGGGTCTGAGCGAGCATTTGCTGACTCACGCGGGCGCTCGGGTCCAGGAAGCGCGTTGGCAGCAGGTGCTGTGGAACAAGCCGAGCGTCCGTTTTTCCAGGATCCCGTTAGCAGCTGGCAGAGGGCAGGCCGCCAGGCAGCAGTTCCCGGATGTGCGGGCAGGAGGGGCCTCAGCAGGAGCCGTGCCTTCCGTCTCACGTCTCACAGGGGCCAGTGTTGCGGGTCCGAGCTCGGGCGTGTCAGCTGCAGCGCGTCTCCTGCCGCGGCACCACGGAGGCTGCCCCGCGCCGGGCCGGGCACACGCAGGGCCGGGCACACGCAGGTGGAGGGAGTCGGCTCCGGGCAGAGCTGGGTGGTGGAAGGTCCAACGGTCAGGCCTGCGTAGGATTTCAATGTTCCTGAGAGAGGAGGGGATGGCTGTGATGGTCCATATGCCGGATGACACTTACTGGAACTTCATGGATCTATGGGGGTCGCTCCCCAGCGTTACAGACAAGCAGCCGCCACAGCCACCGTCTAGCAGGACCCGAAACTCCCCTCGGCAGCCTCGTCCCAGGAAAGACCAGCTCCAGCCGGACGTCACGGACCCTCCCCACCCCCACCCCCGTCACCTCGGTGAGAACTGTCCGCAGAATTACCTGGTTCAGGCACCAAAGAGTCAGCACGCGGCACGTGCTGGCGAGGACGGGAGGAAAGGGAGCCCGGGCGGTGATTGTGGGATTGGAAACTGGTGCAGCCGTGAGGGAAGACAGTACTGATGTTCCTCAAAACAGTAAAAATAGAAGGGCCATCGGGCCCAGCAACTCCACTCCCGGGTGTTTATCTGAAGGAAATAAAAACACTCGTTCAAAGAAGCGATGCATGCATACCCGTGCTCACTGCAGCGTTACCTACAATAGTCAAGACGTGGAAGCGGGCCAGGCGCCGGCAGCAGACACGCGGATAGAACAGATGTGGACACGCGGGCATGGTACTCAGCAATCAAAAAGAGTGAAATCTCGCCATTTGCAACAACAGGAAGGGACCGAGAGGGCGTGATGCTGAGTGAAGTAAGGACAAGCCCACACACCTCACTCACGTGTGGAACCTAAAGGACGGCGCAAACAAATAAACAAAAGGGAAACGAGTCCGCAGACAGAGAAGAAGCTGATGGTTTCCCAAGGGGAGGCAGGTGGGCGAATCTTTTTTTTAAGGAAGAGATACACTCTTCAGTGGCATTTCATCCCAAGTTAACTTTCATTTATTCTCTACATTGTTGGACTCGGCGTCAGGTTTGCCGAGGGATAAACTCTTCCGGGGCACGTCGGCCCCATCCGGCCACGGAGAGACGTAGACGGCAGCCGACACAACTCTAATTCTTAGAAAATGTCACAGACCCAGGGGTGGGTGGGCCCCGAACTGAAATTACTGGTTAGGAAGAGCTGTTGAAAAATGTTAAAGAAAAAACAAATAAAAAAGGTACGGCAAGACCTTTTCCTAAGGAACAAATTTCCTGCACTGACATCCATTCGATTTTAAAAATGCAAATGGAAATTCCGTGTAGCGTCCTGGAAGAGGCGGCAGTCAGGGGCCAGCGTGCACCTGCAGCGCAAGCTCAGCCGAGCTGTGCCGTTGTTTCTGGGCCTCAGAGGAACTTGAGAGAAAACACCGCCTGTTTGCACAGAACCCTGTTTCTGGGACGGGTTTTTGCTGTAGCGACAGCCGGGAATTCCCGGTCTTTCTGGCTCAAGGTCTCCGTGCCAGGCTGGGGGGAGGGGGGGCAGAGAGGGAAGCAGCCACGGCCCCTCTGTGTTTCTGAGGGCACCCACCCCCATGCACACGTGCGACAGGGAACAGGCATGTCGCGCCTGCTTTGGACCAGGGTTCTCCCAAGCACTCGCCTCCCGCTGAGTTAGTCCAGCCAGAGCCGCCCTGGGAAGCAGGCACCACGTTCACACCCACGTCACAGGTCAGGACCCCGAGGTGAGGTCACAGAACTCCAGGTGCCAGGTTTTGGGTTTATCCTCTCTCACCTCCAAAGTCACCCTTTTTGCTGGCTCTGCTGCAGGGGAGCTGGGAGCTCCTAGGAGTTCTCTTCCTCACCCTCCCGCACCCTCCTGCACCCTCCCGCACCCTCTCCTCACCCTCCTGCACCCTCCTTCACCCTCCCATACTCCTCCCTTACCCTCCCTCACCCTCCTGCACCCTCCCTCACTCTCCCTCACTCTCCCACACCCTCCCTCACCCTCCCTCACTCTTCCTCACCCTCCCGCACCCCTGCAGCAGCAGAGCCTCCATGAGCCAGCTCCCTTGTACCCCAGGGAGTGGATTTCCAGCAATTCCATGGCATGGCACCCCGGGACCATCTCTGTCACCTGCTGAGCCACAACCAATTCCTCCCACCGACATCTAGATCCCAGCCAGGGGGGAGGAGGGGTGGGGGGCGGGGGGAGGGGGGAGGAGCTGCTCCTCCGACTGCTGTTCTCGCCTCCTTTCTGTCCACTCTCTTTACTTCTTTTTTTTACAAAATGTATTTTTATTGATTTCCCAGAGGAAGGGAGAGAGAGAGAGAGAGAGAGAGAGAGAGAGAGAGAGAGAGAAACATCAGTGATGAAAGAGAATCATCGATCACCTGCCTCCTGCACACCCCCCACTGGGGATCAAACCGAAGCCTGGGCCTGTGCCCTGACCAGAATTGAACCGTCAGCTCCTGGTTCCTAGGCTGACCTTCACCACTGAGCCACGCTGGCCGGGCCCATTCTCTTTACTTCTCTGTAGCCAGTCCCCCGCCACCCACCCCCGTCCTGGTTAATAATGACGCACATTAAACTTCCCTGTGGGAGTCGCTATGTGGCTTCTCGCTCCTGGTTGGATCCTCAGGTCACAGCCCAGCTGTGACCCAGAGTCAGCTCCTCCTCGCGTGGGCGGATGGCACAGGCTCTGGTGCGAGGAGCCCCATGTGTGATCCCCACGGGAGGGCAGGGGGAGGGGGAGGTCTCAGGAGGGGGCCTGAGGCTGAGTTTTTACACAGTCGCACTGAGGACATGTGAATGACATCTTCCCGGAAAAGGTGCCACCTGCTCACCGCCCCCCGCCCCCCCGAACTTCCTTCTCTTTCCTCGGGGAGTTTGGGGTCTTCAGGATCCTGACCCTCGCTCTGCAGTTTCCCGCTTCTCTGGGAACAGCCTGCTCCTGGGGCATCGGGAGGGCGGGCCCTGACCTGGGCGCTAGGAGGCGGCCGAGGGCACCTCTGAGGCTCCCGCTGGGCCGGGCGGCATTTCTCACTGAGCTGCTCCATTCAGAACACAAAAGACATAACAGAGAAATGCTTGACTTTTTGTAATAACTGCATTTATTTTATTTCCACTTTCGATAAAAACTAGTTGGTTCTTAATTCCCCAAACACACGTGGATAAATGACAAACGTAAATGTTGGAAGAGCGTGTGGCAGCCGGGGAGCCCGCCGCGTCCAGCCATCGGCTGTCCCAGGGGCGCGGCTGCGAGGACACGGAGGTCCCTGCGCTTCCTCCCGTGAGCTGCCCGGCAGCAGCCATGGACACAGGCTCTGGCTGCGGGGAAGGTGCGGGGTGGGGCGGGGGCAGCGAGGGCTGAGTCCCAGGTCATGGGCTGAGTCCCGGCCCCCTGGCACAGCCCCCACTTATCCGGAGCTGCCTCCAGCACTCGGCGCCGCGTCCAGAGGCCCTGAGGCCCCACACGGTGACCTGGCGAGGGCTGGCACAGCTGGCGGAATCTGGGGCTGGTTTGTAAAAAGTGATGCATTTGGAAATTTGATTAAAAAAATAGAACCCCTGGGATCTGAGCCCCCAGGAGTGAGCGAGGCCTTTCTGCCGGGTGGGAATGGGCATGGGAAGAGGGTGGGGGTCAGAAGCAAAAGGGAAAACTCGGAAATACAAGGAGAAGGGGTCTGGCGGGGTAGTGACTTGATCGCCCCCCCGTCTGCGGAGCCCCGTCCTCAAGCGTCATTGGTCCTGCCTGTGTGGGCCAGCAGTTCGGGAAGCTGGGCTTTCCTTTATGCAAAAAATAAAAAAATCATCCAAAGTAAAAATCAGTGCTTGCCGCCGTGAAGATGGGCCGTTTAATGGTGTGTCCAGCACTGGAGCCATCCAGGCCCGGGCAGGGGCCGGCAGGCCGCCTGGGTTAGACGGCGTTCCGCTGCAGGAGCTGGTCCAGTAATTGCTGGGGAAGCAGGAGACAGGCGTCAGGTGCCGAGCACACCTGGGGGCCACAGCACACCTGGCCACACACATCACACACCTGCTGGCGGCCACAGCACACCTGGCCACACACATCACACACCTGCTGGCGGCCACAGCACACCTGGCCACACACACATCACACACCTGCTGGCGGCCACAGCACACCTGGCCACACACGGCACACCTGCTGGCGGCCACAGCACACCTGGGCGCCACACACACATCACACCTGCTGGCGGCCACAGCACACCTGGCCACACACATCACACCTGCTGCGGCCACAGCACACCTGGCCACACGCATCACACGCCTGCTGGCGGCCACAGCACACCTGGCCACACACATCACACACCTGCTGCGGCCACAGCACACCTGGCCACACACACATCACACCTGCTGCGGCCACAGCACACCTGGCCACACACACATCACACCTGCTGGCGGCCACAGCACATCTGGCCACACACACATCACACCTGCTGGCGGCCACAGCACACCTGGCCACACACATCACACCTGCTGCGGCCACAGCACACCTGGCCACACACATCACACACCTGCTGGCGGCCACAGCACTCCTGGGCCACACACCTCACACCTGCTGGCGGCCACAGCACACCTGGCCACACACCTCACACCTGCTGCGGCCACAGCACATCTGGCCACACACACATCACACCTGCTGGCGGCCACAGCACACCTGGCCACACATAGCACACCTGGGCGCCACACACAGGTCGCACCTGCTGGCGCTGGGCCGTTACCTTTTTGAAGACTTCTGCTCGGAGTCTGTTACTCTGTAAGATCACCCTTTTCTTCTGTTCTTCTTTTTTCTTTCTGACTTCCGGCAAGTTGTTGTAGATTCTGAAACAGATCCAGGAAACACTGTGAATGGTAGCAAAACAATGTGTGTCAGAGGGGCCTGCAGCCCGGCTGTCAGCAGGCGCCTCCATCTCAAAGGGGAGCTCCACTCACGGCTTCTCATGAAAAGTCACACTTCCTTTAAAACCAGGGGTTCCAAACCGACTGCCTAGCCACGCCGAGGGCCAGCTTGCCCCCACACGCCACCATCCCCTCGGCGTTTGCCGCCCTGTGACCCAGGAAAGCAGCAGCAATGGACGGAGGAGCAGGACTGCGTTGGACTCACACACACACGTGTGTGCATGTGTGTGTGTGTCTGCCCCTCAGAGACTGTCTCCTACGTAACCTGCTTCCAAACACAGTGCAGGCGAGCGGAGGGTGCTCATGTCGGGCGCTTCCAAGGGGCAGGCGGGCCCATGGGTGCCTCTTCCGGACGCTTCTTTCCTACCTCCCAACAGAAGAGTTTCCGCACGGATGCCAGACAGAATTCTCTAGAATCCACGGCAGGCGTGCTGCCTGTGCCTGGCTTTTACATTGCCACCCATGGCGCTTGGTGAAACAATGGGTGTGGCTCAGCGGTTGAGCTTCTACCCAGGAACCAGGAGGTCACAGTTCAATTCCCAGTCAGGGCGCATGCCCGGGTTGCGGGCTTGGTCTCCAGTAGGGGGCGTGCAGGAGGCAGCCGATCAATGATTCTCTCTCATCACTGATGTTTCTCTCTCCCTCTCCCTTCCTCTCTGACATCAATATAAAAAAAACCCAAACAGCTCTTTCTCGTGTTGGAAAGCCAGGCACGTTCTGCTGACCAGGTGCTGCCATGGGTAACACAGTCCTCGCCAAGTGGAACAAGGCTGATGCTGACAAAGCAAGCACCTGCTGCTATCGTGGTTCCCGGGCGCTCGGCTAACGGCGCGACGTGGACTGTCTCATACTCCTCACCTGTCGGGAGAGGCATAGGGTCCCGCAGTTACGGGGTGAGGAACCCAGGCCCCAGCCAGGTCAGGAGACTCGCGGACTGCCTCTCAGCCGGGACTCTGACCCTCCGTCGGTTTGACTTGGCCCAGCACTGTCCCCCAGCCACGGAGCACAGTGACCCGGGAATACTGGCTCCTGGCACGGTGCCTGGCTCACTGTGGGCATCGCATGGTCTGAATGAAGACAGGAGCCATCGTCGCCTCCACAGAGACCCGTCCTCCGGACGCTGAGCGTCTGAACCCCGAGGGCCATTTCAGGGAACAGTCCTCCCACTCACCCTGGGGCCTCTGATGCAGAATTTATTACATTTTATGTATTTATTTATTTAATCTTCACTGGAGGGTATTTTTTTGCATTGATTTTTAGAGAGAGTGGGAGAGAGGGAGGGAGAGAGGGAGAGAAGGGGAGAGGGAGAGAAGGGGAGAGGGGGAGAGAGGGAGAGAGAGAGAGAGAGAGAGAGAGAGCGCAAAACATTGATGTGAGAGAGCACATGGATTGGTTGTCTCCCGCACACCCTGCCTGGGGCCGGGAATTGAACCTGTGACTCTTCGGGCAGCCGATGCGCTATCCCTAAGCCACACCGTCCAGGGCTGATGCCGTGTTTTCTTAAAAGACCTTCCTAAGTGAACTATGCTCATCCACGTAATAGACCACTTTGCAGAGTTAAAACCCGTGAGGGGAGCCATCCGCGTTCATATCTCCTGACACGGGCAGCTCGCACAGACGTGTTACAAAGTGAAAACATAAAAGCAGGCCGCGGGCAGATGAACCACAGCGTGGTCCCACTTAGGGCTCATGCTAGGTCGCGGGGTCGGTACAGAGAGAGGATGGCAGAGGCGCCGGGGAGGGTGCGCAGGGCTGGGACCTGGGCGTGTCTGGAGATGGACCCAGAGAGCTGGTGTGGGGGAGTGTGGGGGGGCTAGCGCGTCACAAGGGACTTGAGCTTCAGCTCCATTATTTGAACTTTCTAAATGAAAATGTCACGTAGCAATATAATTCATAACAAAGGATGCAGAAGAAAGAGCACCAGTGTGCCCCGGGGTGGGGGTGCGGTCTCGGGGCCCGGCCAGAGCCCACCCAGGCAGCCCAGAGAGAGGGAACCGGTCCCGACTCCATGGAGACCGGCCTCTGGCGAGGGGAGCGGCCTCGGGGGCCATCCCCTCGCTGGTCTGTCCTGTCCCAGCCTCAGTTTCCACCTCAGCAAAACGCTGGGGCTGTACGCTCTGCCCGCGGACGCTGGCCTGACCTCGATGATTTCAGTCGGACGGCGCCCTGAGAGCGGCGCTGGGTTTGGGGACCGAGAGGGAAGGATTTGGCGGAATCTCCCCCCTAAATTGAAAGGGAATGCTTTTGGCGTGAGGTCTACACAGCTTCGCACTTCTAACCCAGCCAGCCTCGCAGCGCAGCGGCCCTTTAAAAACCCGCTAGGACGCCGCGGAGCAGAGCAGGCCGTTAATGGGACGGTCCCCCTTCGCCGCCGCTCGCGTCTTTATTTACAAAGAGGTCTCCTCGCCTCGTCCAAGTTGGCTCATGTCACGGGGACAACGTCATCACGGCCGAGGCCGGGGCTCTGCCGGGGGAGCCGGGTCCGGCCTGCCCGGTGCTCTCTCTAAGTGCCCTCTCCATCTGGCTTAATTATTATAATTCTTCCCAGCGCGAGGTACTTCGTTATAAGCTAATGGCATTTCGCTTGCGTGAGCTTGGCCAACGTTGCCGAGCTATCACATTTCCATGAGGAGGCCAGAGCCGGGGAAGAATGGCCGCCTTTGTGTGCACCCGGTGGGGGAGAGCTGGTGGGCGTCTAGAATAGCAGCCGGCCGGGTTTGCTGGCATCTCCCCACCCAGCCCGGCCCGGCCCGGCCTGGAGGGACGGAGGGAGGGAGGGAGGGGGCGCCAGGGAGCAGGCCCGTGGCCCTCAGTGGCTTTGCGGCCCCCACGTGCCATCGGCCCCCATATGTGGGCCCTTTTCCGCAGCCCTGAGCACCGAGGCCCTCAGGAAGCTGCTCCCTCCTCTGCGTAAATGACCTTCAGAGGCGCAGGGACACAGAGCACCCGCCCAGCGCGACGCGGGACCTGCAGGAGCGGCCCTAGGAGTCTGGCGATCGCTGAGAGACCAGTCACCGGTCGGCTCAGGATCCAGGACCCACTGCTTTCCTAAGGATTTTCCACGAACGGCATGAAGACCGAGGCACAGTCCCACGGCCACACTTCCCTGCGCCAGCTTTCCACGTTCACGGCCAAGATGACCTCAGACCTTACATGGGGACCAGAAACTGGCCCCTCGGGGCAGCACGGGACCCACGGAGCCGCCCTCCCCCCGCCCCCCTCACGGCCACCAGGTACCTCTTGGATCGCATGTGCATCTCCTTCTCCGAAATGCACCTTTCTTTGGGTTTGAACAAGTTATCTGCAAGAAAGGAGAGAGGAGGGTTCATGTCAGAAGGCACGGGGGCTCCGCACACGCTGTTCCCGGCTCTTCCTCCAAGCGCCGGCCCATCACCAACACTGAGGGCACGGCCGATGCTCACACCACTGAGCCCCCTCCCCCCCCACCCCACCCCCAGGCTGGTCTTGGCCACAGTGCACTCTGGGCATGAGGTGGGCATCTAACATACTTCATGGACAGTGACCTCCCTTTTTAAAAATATACTTTTATTGATGTCAGAGAGGAAGGGAGAGGGAGGGAGAGAGAAGCATCAATGATAAGAGAGAGTCATGGATCGGCTGCCTCCTGCACACCCTACACTGGGGATCAAGCCTGCAACCCAGGCCTGGGCCCTGTCCGGGAATTGAACCCTGACCTCCTGGTTCAGGGGTCGACGCTCACCCACTGAGTCACGCCGGCCGGGCCGTACCTCAATTTTAGAAACAGAGCCGTGGTCTCCGAGGGCGGCACCAGGCGTCACCCCGGCTGCAGGGCCCCGATGAGCAGTCACCCCCCTCCCCCCCTTCAACGGAGCAGCCACGCCAGGCGCTGGTGCCTCTGAGGACAGGAGCCCAGGACGCTTCGTGGTGGGAGACGACAGCCACCCTGCGTGTGCTTTGTTCAGGAACAGGGCGAGGTCCCACCACGCGTCCCTTTGCCTGGAAACGCTGCCTTACAGAGTGAACGTGACCGGGGACAGCCGTTGTCGGCCCACGTGCGTGTCTTGCGCGCGTTTTCCCTGGAGCTCCGCTTCTCCTCATTCACTCACAGGGGAGGGGATGGTGGCTGTTCCCCCATCGCCGCTTACGTAGAGGCGGCTTTCTTCTCAATAAAATGAAAAGGAAATGCCATTTCTGTGTTGCTGGAAAATCCGTTTATTTTTTAAAACCCTGTGTATCTGGCGTTCGCCTCTTTATTGTGTCCGAACTCCAGGGCCTGTTGCTAATTTCAATGGCAAGGCCGGACCTGCGTTCGCCTTTGCCTGTTTGAAAGTCAGCAGACAACCAGCTCCCAAGAAGGGGGTCCTTCTGAGGCTGCTCTGGGGGTGCAGCCGAGTGAAAGCCAGTCCCGCCAGCCATTCATCTCGATAAACACCCGCCGGTATTTATTATGACCCTCATCTCACGCGTGTACAAACATGCACACACACACACACACACACACACACACAGGGACAGGCACAGAAGGTGAACCATTCTCCACTCCGGCACAGACATGTGTCCCGAGTTCAGAGCAAGAATGCCAGCTCGGGCCTTCCATGAAAAGACAGGGGCGCAAAGACACACAAAAAAGAAGAAGGCAAGAGAGAAAAGATAGGGGCCGGGAGCTCAGAGGTGGACTTCCCCAGGGCACGCCCCTCCGGACGGAGCCGGCGATGAGGAGGCCCCGCCATGCGCCCCGGAGCCCGCCCACCTCCCTCCCATCTTGCTGATGGAGAACCTTGGATGCCAATGGGCAGGCGAGGCCCCCGCTCCCCCTACAGGAACCGACCCCCAAGTCAACCATGTCTATGAAACACGTTTGGAAAGAAATAGTCTTAATGTAACGCCTGGGCCGTTCTGCTCAGACCCAGGAGCACTGTCCCCAGCCCCCACTCCCAGCTCCCTCAGGGGCTCCTGATCATCCCAGGCTTGGTCTACACGGAGGAAACCAACACCATCCCCCTGCCCACAGGTCCCAGGGGCTCTCCGACTTCGCTTCCTGGCTTTGCCAGAAGAAAGGGCTATGAGAGTAAATGGCAGATTGGAACGCTAGTTTCTTTAGCAAAGCGTGGTAGGCTGAGGTAAATTATTTACGAGCAAAGATTCCTAGAGCAATGTTTCCAAAGTGAACTCTTAAGAATTAGATAAGAACATTCCCAGGTTAAAAAAAAAATTAGGAAGAATAGGGTTAAATAAACTTAAGCAGTCGTCACTGTTGCAGGACTTGTCAGTGCCTTTAACACACACCAGGCGTTGTAAACCTCGAAAAGAACACAGCGTGCGAAACATTTCTCAGAGGAATCTGACGGGCTGATCTTTCTCTGAAATGCATGTTTGCTTGTTCTAGGCTTGAGGACATTAAGGAGAAAAGTGACAAGTGCAGAGTAATAGCTCTGATTAGTTCTCAGTTTTCAAAGTTATTTCTGACTATAAAGCAGGGTTTAGTCTATCCGTGCATCTGGAGAAAAGCTGGTGTACTTGGTCCACATTTTCTAAGAAATGTGAAGGTCTGTACCCATTTCAAGGGACGTTAACCTTAACAGTGGCTCCAGTCCTTCTCCACAAAGCAGCCACGTCTCCTCTGCGTCTGAACGACCACCCAAGCGCAGGAGACTTTGTGCCCCGATTCCAGGGGTTCCCGTGTTTTGTAAAGAACCACAAAATACGGTGATTGTAGATGCTGCATAAACATCCGCTCTCCTTGCCAAGTGGATTCACTGACGTGCATCATAGGAGAGAGATCACGTGGAAGGTAAGATCGAGGTAAGGGGAGAAGGGACCCTTGATGAAGTCATTCCTCACCATTCTGCAACTCTGCGTTCACCTACGTTAACTTAGTCAGAAACAACCTGTCCTTTAGGTCCACTTCCAGTCACGGACAGAAATTGGTCTGTTTTCCCCCAGGTTTCCTAAAAACACACAACAGAAGCCCTTCCTCCTGGGGCTGGGAAGGACGCTAATAGCACTGGACATGCAGATGTCTTTGAATCGGGGAAACAATCCTTTGGCTAAATGAGGCTTCTTGCTTCCTCGGGGGCTGATGAAGTAACAATGTACTGTTATCTGATAAGCACATTTTAAAATTCCTTTGTGAGTAATCCTGGGAAAACTGCCCCCAGATATTTATTCAGATGTTTTATGGGAAAGCATTCATGAGAGCAGACCGGACAGGGGAGGAAGGGGTGGCCGGTGCTCCCAGCTGCGTGGTGGGCAGCTCAGGGCTCTCACCTGGCGCTGTCCCCTCCGTCCCAGATCTGCTGGGTCACTTCTCCAGGGAGACGCTCCGGGAATGCAAATCCGTACTAGGACCTGCTCCAGCCAAGACCCGTCCCTGAGGCGGCTCTGCGGGGGCAGGAGTTTGCAGCGCCTTCCGGAGAATTCCGTCCTTCCCCTGGGCCATGGTTTATAAGGCTCTCTGACCTGGCTCACCTCGGACGTAGGACGTGTGGCCAATGCCATTCAGATGAATGCCATCAGCTTTGCTGCATGCGGCAGGGTTTCCCAGAGGGACTCAGTGCAATGCACTCCCACGGGCACTTACAATCGAGGGAGACGTTCCTAGCAAATACCCTCAGACTATACTCCAAAATGAAGATGGCAAGAAGGCAGGGTGTCTGGAGGGAGACAGGAACCATGAGTCCTCAAATGGAAGAGACTGGATGGGAGTAGTCAGGGAGGGCTTCATGGAAGAAGGGGATATTCCTGATGGGTTTTCCACTCATTCACAGGCTAAGAGGACCACATGGAAGCACCATGAGGAGGACCTGGCAGGCAGGCGGTACACAGATGGAGACAGAAACAAGGCCGCTGGGGCTGTGAGCAGGCCAGGCCCCCGACCGCTTGTGGCATGGAAGGCAGGTGGTAGCAGCGGATGAACAAAGGGCTCAACTGAGCCGTGCAGCTCACCTCACAGCCCAGGGCTCCTCCCAGGAATGAGAGGATGGCACCTGGGGGTTAAGAGGCTGGACTAGAGACAGGCCAGTGAGGCGAGGCAGAGGGAGGGGGACAGGGAAGCCTGTCGAGGGGCGTGGGGACCCTGATCCGGCTGTTACCTGAGGTCAAGGACAGCAATGAGACCGACCAGGAGCGGGAGAGGGCAGAGGCAGGCGGCACGGGGTCCGGGCACAGCTGAGGTTGCTCAGAGGCTGGGCCCAGCCCTGTGGGGCCCGTGGGGGCCCGGCTCAGGGTGCGGTCAGAACAGGACAGAGACAGGGACTGCTCAGCGGAGGGCAGTGAGGGCCCTACGTGGGCGCTACCACCTGTGGTGCCACCGCTGTGCTTCCCACCGGCCTGCCGCCCCTCCTGCCCGGCTCATCCCGCAGGTGAAACCCCCTCATTCCGGGCTATGGCCGGCCTTGGAACAGGCCCACCCCTGGGAACCCCGCCCTGGAGGCCTGCAGGGGTGACGCCCCGGGAAAGCTGGTGACTGAGCGGGGAGCCCTGACCAGGAGGGAGAGCGAGGCCCTCGGACTGGGACTCCGTCCTCAGTCTGCGTGCAGAGGCTGCCTCCCGCCTGCCGCCTGCAGCTCCGCAGTCTCATCGCCTCCCCACAACCTGGGGTTCACCAGCTCCCGCTGACTCTGTCGCCCACAGCCCCTGGCCTCTGTCCCCGCGTGCCTCCAGCCCCGCCCCAGCCTGGCCTTCATCACATCCAGCCGGGAGCTTTGCTATGAAATCCTGCCCCTGCTCTGGCCCCGGGACAAGGTTAACCTCGGAAGCAGCGGCACGCAAGTCCTCGCAGCTTCCTAGGGCTCACCTTGGCCCCACCTCCCTCTGTGCTCCACACCCCATTTCACGGTCCAGCGGAGCTGGCTGAGCACCCCAGCCCCCTCTCCCCCCTGGGCTCCCACCCCCACCCCGACCAGGTGCCAGTCATCCTATTGCACCTGGTCCCCCCTCCGTCAGCCTGCCCTATCCCCCAGGTGAGAACAAAGCCACCTCCTGCGGTTTCCATGGCAACCCAGGACAACTCCTTCCAGGACACCTAGCAAATCCCAAGGTCATTGGCTCTGTGCCTGCCCGTCTCCCCCGTGATGTGGGGAGGCCTGTGAGACCAGGGACTGGGCAGGGCACACAGCGGGGTCTCAAGAAGGGCCTGCTAAGAGACGGGTGCAGACCTGCCCGGCGTCACTGCGGGGGCCCCGCAAGGTGGGGGAAGGGGAGAGGGGAGTCTGCGCTCATTAGCTTTGGGAAGTCAGGCGGCTGCTGCTGGGACGGCAGTAAGGACAGGGGGCTGCGGGCAGGACCTGTGTCACACTGCCTCCCGGTCTCTGTGATACCTACGAGGGGTAAACGTTCCCTCATCTCTACACGGGAACGCATTTACCCTCACATACGTGTGCAGGCCCACGCGTGTCACTGCCCTGGGCCTCAAAGACCGCTCAGCATTCATCAGCCAACAGGAGGCACAACTGGCCCCCGGCCCCGTCGTCACTGTCCCTGCACGTCGGGTGCCGGCTGTCCCCCTGCCCCCGTCCAGCTGCCAGAGCTCCCACCCGAACCTCCCCAGTCTGTTTGGGGTCAAGGCTGATGTCTCTGTCCTGTTCTGACCGCACCCTGAGCCGGGCCCCCACGGGCCCCACAGGGCTGGGCCCAGCCTCTGAGCAACCTCAGCTGTGCCCGGACCCCGTGCCGCCTGCCTCTGCCCTCTCCCGCTCCTGGTCGGTCTCATTGCTGTCCTTGACCTCAGGGGTCAAGTCGCCCTGCTCGGAGAGCCATGCCGTCCGCTGCTAGCAGTCGGCCACCGTAGCCGGCTGACTCTGTGAGTGATGAGCCAGCTGGGCAGCGAGAACCTCTGCGCCGCCCTCAGCCTCCTGCGGGGACAGGCGCAGGCAGACCGGCTGCAGGCGGGCTTAGCGGCCGGACTCCGCCGCCGCTCTCCGCGCCCGCACCGGCTCTGGCTTCAGAACGTGTCTGATTCGCCCGCGGACAGACAGACACGAGAGCGCGAACACCGGGGACATGCAGGGGCCAGACACCTGGTCATGAAAAGCTGCCTCAGGCACTTAAACTAGTGACGGCTCCGACCCCTGCAGCACACACGGTCTGAAGATCTCCTTGTAAAGGAATGTGAGCCTGGAAGGGTATCTGTTTCGGGCAAAATACCACAGGGTGACGCAGCGCCTAGGACCGTCTCCCCAAAACGGTACGTTCCACCCCGGGGCGCGTGGCTGTGACTCCGTTTGGAAGGAGAGCCGTTGCGGATGCCCTCGGGGTAAGGCGAGGTCACGCTGGGTCAGGGTGGGCCCTGAGCCAAGGACTCGTGTCCTTAGAAGAAGAGGAAATTCAGACACAAAGACACACACACACACACACACACACACGCACGCGCACACACACACACGCACACACACACATACACACGCGCACACACACACACACACATACACACGCGCACACACACACACGCACACACACACATACACACACACACACACACACACACACACACACGCACACACACACACAGGGGGAGGCCACTGAAGATGATGCATCTACAAGCCAAGGAACAGCAAGGAGTCTCAGAACCCCCAGAGGCCCCCAGAACGCCCCCCCTCAGGAGCTCCCAGAGCCCCCAGGAGAGAGGCCCCGATGGCTTCTCCTCTGAGACCCTCGCAGGAATCAATCCTGAGACACTTGGACCTCGGACGCCTGGACTCTGGATCTGGCCTCCAGACTCTGAGGGGACCCACTGCTGATTTCCCAGCCGCCCCGCCGCGGTCCTTCTGTACAGCAGCCCGGAAACAAAGGCGCAGGACCAAGGCGGCCCTCGGGTACTGCAGGGGACAGTGCCCGGACCATATGGGGCCTGCAGAGCGCACGAGGCCCCCTCCCTTTGCGACTTCCTGTCCTTAGCACGTGGGAGTGTCGCCGGGAAGGCGCGGCGGGTGACTGATTAATCCTTCGCCCCGAGAAGGCTGCATTCACCTCCGCCTTGCCAGCGCCTGAGACCAACTCCCCCTCCCCCAGCGCTCTGGGGGATGCGGGCCCAGCCTGCTGTGGACCAGGGGAGGGGGGGTGGGCACAGGAATCCCAGGACAACACCCTAGGACAACTGAGGCTCCCTGGCCTCCGGATCCGAGCTGCGGCCGTCAGGATGGGCTCCGGGGCCCCTCCTGCCCTCGCCTCCTGCTGTCCTTGCTGGTGTAGGAGTCTGTTCACAAGCTCCGTGGAGAGAGGACCGAGGCCCGTCTGCTCAGGGTCCAGCCCGGCGCCGGCCGGGAAGGCTCCTGATGACCCTCCTCTAAGTGACAGGCCCCCCCGTAGGGTCAGCACGACCCGGCCTCTCCACCTGGACGCCGCCCTCCACCCTCAGGGCTCAGCAGGCGAGGGGTTTCCAGATGACGAATGCTGATGCCAATGAGCGGGGTCCACCTCGCACCCTAACATCTGTCAAGGGCAGAGGGGCCTCCTGCAGTGTCTGTCAGGAGCCGAGAATGTGAACTTGCTCCCCTGACAGCAAGGTCCTGTGGCTTCTTTCCTGGCTCTCGTGGTGAATTGTGGCCCAAGGAAGCTCTGAAAATTCAGTGCCCCATAGACTCTCCAAAATGGGCCGGCTCCTAGGGCCGGCTCCGTGATACCCAGGTCCTCAGCGCGAACACGGTCCCGTGGACATGGTGGCAGCATGGGACCAGCACCTGGGGTGCCGGTCCCAGCCGAGGATCCCCCATTCCCCCCGCCCCCAGCCACCGAGCTCACCACTAAGTGGATGGGGGACGGTGAACTGCCTCCTGCTGGCGCGGACGGGAAGGGGGCCCGGCTTCGGCCCCGGGCTCTCCTGGCGCTGTGCCCGCCTCTGCTGCGCCATGAGCTCCAGCTTCCTCAGCCGCTCTTGCGAGCGAGAGATGAACTGCGGCCTCCGGGCCTCCAGTGCTTCCTGAGGGAGCCGGGAAAAGAGATTATTTTTTAAATATATTTTTATTAGAGGCCCAGTGCACGACATTCATGCACTGGCGGGGTTGGGGGGGCGGTGTCCCTCAGCCCAGCCTGCACCCTCTCGCAGTCCGGAACTCCTCAGGGGATGTCCGACTGCTAGCTTAGGCCCACTCCCCATGGCTTCTGGGAGCTCCTGCATTGAGCGTCTGCCACCTGGTGGTCAGTGCACGTCATAGCGACCAGTCATTCTGCCATTTGGTTGATTTGCATATTAGCCTTTTATTATATAGGATTGATTTCAGAGAGGAGGGGAGAGGGAGAGAGAGAGAAACACCAATGATAAGAGAATCATGGGTTGGCTTCCTCTTACATGCCTCACACTGGGGATCGAGCCCCTCAACCAGGAATTGAGCTGTGACCTCCTGGTTCATAGGTTGCTGCTCAACTAATGAGCCAGGCATTGCTAAGAGAAGGGACACAGGGAGGGGCACATCCATCTGACTGGCCAAGGAGCTGAGCAGGAGAACAATTCAGGGACCGAAAGTGTCAGTGAGTAATCTGGTCCCCATTGCTTCCCACTGGCTCACGGAAAGGCGGTCCAGCCCCACGGATGGCACAGGCCCCCCCAGGCCCCGCGGCCCCTGCACACAGTGGACTAGAACCAATCAGGGTTGTGAGAGCAAAGGCAACCATCTACCATCCTTTCTTCCACTGGCCACCCTGCCCATTCGTTCATTTCCCACAGGCCCAAAGCGGACGCCCTAAATCCATCCTCCAGGACCTGAGGGGGAGGAATGGGAGCATCCTGAGCCCCTCGCTCCTGGGTGGGGGTGGGGGGTGGGGGACTGGGAGCTTGAGGAAGCTGAGACCTAGGTTGTCCACCAGCATCACACACACGCCTTTTCAGGAGAAACAGCGATCGTGCCCAACGGACGTCATGGTCTCTGTGACTCACACTGTGACACAGGGGCCCAGAGAGGTTAGGGCATCTGCCCAGAGGCACACAGCCTCAACGAAGGCGAGACAGGTCTCCAGCCTCAGAGGCCAAAGTGAGGTCACGTGACCCCAAGAGTGGTCTCCCATGGCGGGAGTCGGGTGTGGCATGCTGAGGGCCTCACCTGCAAGGTCAAGGAGGGGCTGGCTGGTGGTTGCTGGCACTCGGAGCAGCCCTCCCGCAGGTCAGGAGTCTCCAGCTCCTCGGTGGGCGCGGGTTCAGGCGGCGTGGGCGTGCGCGTGGGCGTGGGCGTGGGCCTGAGCGCAGGCCCGGGGATGGCGGCGGCCTCCCGCGTCTGGCACTCCTTCAGCTGCAGCACCAGGTCGCAGCAGGTGACGTCTCCTGAGGGGGAGTGGCAGGGGGAGTCCAGTTAGTGGCGCCAGCACGTTTCTCCTGGCCCCTTGCCGCCGTGAGACGTGGAAGACCATTTTGAAAATGGAAATGCCAGCGGGTTATTAAAGGGCCTGGTTAAGCCGAGGATGTCACGGCTCATCACAGACCCCCGGCCGCCCTGGTCACGGGGAGGAGTGCCCGTGGGCGGCCAGCCCTCACGACCCGCTAACGATGCCGCCGCGTGTTCCCTAGGCTGCCGATGGTCAACTGCTCCCCCCCCCCCCCCACGCTGAGAAGACCCTTTCTGTTCCCCGCTGCAGGTAATTGTGTCCAAAGTCATCACTGCTTGTTGTGTGGGGACAGACGACGGCTTTATCTTACGTTTGCTATGATCATGATGTAAGATGGGGAGGGGGGTGGCGTTCATTATCCATCCCTCCCCTTAATTTGCCACGACGACCGCTGGCGACACTGGCCCTGGGAGGTCCCATCTCAGCGCTGGATTCGGGATCGTCCCGGAGCCACGGGGACGTTCCTCATGGACGAGGGCAGGCAGTGGGTTGACCCCCAGCCCTGCAGGCCGGCGGCCTCTGGGTGTGGAAGGTGCATGGATGCTGTCCAGTGTCCCTTACTGACCAGCTCCTTCCCTGACCAGTGCTTCCCGTCTGTCCCAGGCCTCTCTCCTGTCTGAGCCCCTGCCCTCCCCACCCGGCTCCCAACAGCCTCACCAAACCTCCCCGTTCTGAAGCCCAAGGGACACTGTTCTGATCAATGACCACAAACGTCTTAACGGTGACAGCCCGACTCTTCCCTGGCAGGTGGTCTGTCCTCACCCAGAGCTCCGGGGAGAGTCCGCAGAGGAAGAAAATCGCTGCTTTCTCGCGGACATGCTGGGCCCCGCTGCCTTTTTGCTGCTTTATTCTCATGTTCTTTAGAGCAGCGATGGCCTGGTTTGAGCTACTGGCTCCCTCTGTGGGAGCGGCTGGCTCAGACCTGCCTGGAGGGCACAGGGGGGGCCGACGCCTCTCACCCATCACCCTGGGCCTCAGTTACAGAGGGTCGGGGTCGGCCTTGCAGACCCGCAGCCTTCGGAGCAGCATCGCACACCCGCCCCGGCTGAGCCTGAGAGCTGCGGTGCCCCTGGGAGCGGCCTTCTCAGCCTCGGGGGTGCTGGCCTTGCGCACAGTAGGGCCTCAGAGGGACGGCCTTCTCCATGCGGGAGGCAGAGCCCGCTCCCGTGGAAACGGCCGGTCCTGCTTCCCCTCCCGCCACGGGGGGGAGAGGGGCAGCTGGGAGGTGAGCCGGGAGAGGCAGGGCCGCGTGGACCAGGGACGATCCCACCGGCACACCCAGGAGGAAGCAGTCAGCCCGCCTCCCTCGGCCTCGCTCTGGGCGCTGCCTCCAGTGGACACAGCCTCTCCCTGTGGAGCCGGGCACAGGCCGTGGAAGGGGCAAAGGACCAGGTTCAGGGAAGGGATCTGGGGAGCCCCGCCATCTCAGCAAGTCCCTGGGCGCCAGCCGCCGGGCAGAGAGCTGCGCCCACGGGAAGGAACTCTTTAACCAGCCGCGGCTCCGCCAGCGCTGACAGCCTCACGTGCCTCCTGCCGCTTCCAGAAAACTTTCGTTGCTACTAAAAATAAAGGGAGAGTTGCGCTCAAACATCTGACGCCCCCACATCCGATGCCCCGGGACGGGCGGCTGGGCTGCAGAGCTGCCTGCGGGACTGGAGCCCACAGCTCTCAGCGCGGGACAGGGACCCTCACCCCTGCCGGCACTGCCCTGAGCTCACCGAGAAGCCCCTCATATTATCGAGGAGCCCCCCGTATCACCGAGGAGCCCCCGTATCACCGAGGAGCCCCCTGTATCACCGAGGAGCCCCTACTATCACCGAGGAGCCCCTTGTATTACCGAGGAACCCCCTGTATCACCGAGGCGCCCCTACTATCACCGAGGACCCCCTTGTATTACCGAGGAGCCCCCTGTATCACCGAGGAGCCCCCCTTTTCACCAAGTACCCCCCATTTCACCGAGGAGCCCTTGCCTCCACTGCTCCCAGGCCCTGGCTCTGAAGCAGGGGTGGGGAACCTTTTCCGGCCCAGGGCCACGGGGATATTTGCCACAGCATTCGCGGGCCGTACGAAATGATCCACTCACAAACCAGCTGCTCTGGTCAAACGTTTCAGGAACTCACCCCTAATGGCCTGGCAGGGCCAGAACAGATGATTTCTCGGGCCTTAAACGGCCCGCGGGCCGGACGTTCCCCACCCCTGCTCTAGAGGGACTGGCTCGCTGGCGCCTTAGGGACGCCCGTGACCTTCTGCACGCCGGGCAGTGGAGTCCGGCCAGGTACCCGGTTCAAATCCCTCCTCCACCGCCCTCAGCCCCATCTGGAAAGGCAAGTCACCACTAGGATGAGGTAATAATGTCCCATATTTTTTATTTATTTTCGTTATTAGGATAGTATCTATTTTTATAAATTGACCTCTGTATGTAATAAGCAAGCTATGTATATACTTGATGTAATCATATTTTATAGGAGAACATATCTGCATTATTAAGATACATGTTGAAATCAAGCTAATGGCATAATAAAACATGAGCAGCGTCGGTGTCATTCTGGCTGGGACCGCTGTTGCCTGGCAGTCGTTGGAACGGTACACCGCGTTTCCCCGTCTTGACCAGCACCAATGGGAAACGGGCAGTGAGCCTGCCAGGGGCTCGCTGAACGCGACCACGGGGACGCTGCAGTCGCACCTGCTGGGGGAAGCGCATCTTTGGCCTCCGCTCGGCGGCCGCTGGCCTCCAGCCCGAACGTGGCTGGCTCCACGCGGAGATGCGTGAAGGAAGTGAGCAACATGAAAGAGCCCAATAAATGCGACCGAAGATGGGGCCTGCGGTGTGAGATGCAGAGTCAGGGGTGCAAAGCGCCCTTGGGAGCGCTGATCGCAGAACCCCCTCCTCAGTGAGCCTCCAGGACTCTGGCCGGGGAGTGTCCGCTGTTGGGAGAGCTGATCGCAGAACCCCCTCCTCAGTGCCTCTCAGGACTCTGGCTGGGGAGTCCCCGCTGTTGGGAGCGCTGATCGCAGAACCCCCTCCTCAGTGCCTCTCAGGACTCTGGCCGGGGAGTCCCCGCTGTTGGGAGCTGTGATCACAGAACCCCCTCCTCAGTGCCTCTCAAGACTCTGGCTGGGGAGTCCCCAGTGTGGGGCCGGGCAGGGAGCAGACAGGCCTGACCCAGGACACCTCCATTTCCTGCCTCTCAGGTTGGCCCTGGTCCTCCCTCCACCCTCATCCAGACCCTCATTTCCTGAGCAAGGTCTGGAAACCCCATTTTGTGGAGATAGAAATACCTCCCAGGGTTCCAGGTCAGAAAAGGAAGCGGATTGCAAGCCGTGGAACCCCGTGGAAAAGGTGCGGGCTCCGCCCCTCAGCCATGCGGGCCGCTGGAGGCCCCTCGCCTGGCGCACATCCCTTTTCTGGTTTTCTCTGCGTTTCTCACAAACCTCAATCATGCCGCCCCCCACCCCGCTGGACACCGCGGCCCCGTGTGCGGCCTCTGCTAAGAACGCCGCTCCCTTTGAAGAACGATTTTTGAAAATCAGACTCGAGACACTCCCTGGGCCTCTGAGGAGAAGCACAGGCGCATGGAAATAGCAACGAAGGAGAAGTCTCAGGGCCAAGCGAGGCGGCATCCCGGCCGGCCGGCCAGACCACAGGCGGCTGCAGAGAGCGAGAGCCCGCGCTGGCTGGTCTCTGCCTCCCTCGCCCCGGACCGGACCTCGAGGCTTACACCGCTCACGTCCTCCCTGTCCCGTCGCGTCCCGTCCCGTCCCGTCCCCTCCCCAGGTGACCACCATGTCCTGATGAAGGAAACAGGTTGTGTCGCCGCAGACGGACGCTACGCCCGTCGCCCCGTTTCGTGTGGACTTCCTGAGCTATTCCTCGCTGGTCGCTGAGAGCAAGTCATAGAAAGCAAGCAGGCTTGGTGTGTGAGCTGGCCCGAGAGAGCCCTCAGCCCCAGGAAAACGGAAATGTGTGTAACTGTCTCTCAAATGCTACGTAAGCATCTGAGTCCAGTAACAGCGTTTCCCCTTCGCCCGCAGAGGGGAGGATGTCTCTGTGGAGATACACTTCTCACTGTCTTACTGAAAACCATCATTTTGGCCCGACTGGTGTGGCTCAGCGGTTGAGCGCCGACCTATGAACCAGGAGGTCACCGTTCGATTCCCAGTTAAGGGCACATGTTTCAGGCTCGATCCCCAGTGTGGGGCCTGCTGGAGGCAGCCGATCAATGTCTGTCTGTCTCTCTCTCTCTCTCTCTCTCTCCCCCCCCCCTCCCTCCCTCTCCCTTCCTCTCTGAAATCAATAAAAATATATATATTAAAAACAAAAAAGAAAATCATCATTTTGGAGCCATGGGAAGAAGTCACTGAAAATGACCAGCTGTTCCCAAGACAATGTGTCCTCCATCCGCCGGGGGACCGGAGAGAGGCCGGCACTTCCGTTCCTGCGAGCTGTCTCGTGTCGGCTGGGGAGGAAGCGCCTTCCTTCTAGCATTTACAAATGTTTGGCCCATGCAGCTGAGGCTGTTTTACATCCCGGGCACCACGGGCAGCGAGTTGCACAGATGACTTGGGGAGGGGGCGTGCACTGTTCTTTCCTATGCCCACCCCACCCCCTTTTGGGGATAGACTACCCAGCTTATGTGTGATTTCAGAACAGAAGGAAAAAGGGTCCTTCATTCGTTCTCATCCTGCTTTTAAACCTCTCAGTGCCCCAACGCATGTCCCTAACGCTTCTCTCAGGAAGGCCAGACGCCCGGTGTCACACCCTCGGGTTCTACCCGGTTCCTGCCGCCTTTGTTCCTCATCTTGATCCCTTTCCAAGGGATCTTTTGGGCCAAACTGGAAACACAGTGCCCTTTAAAGAGCACGATTCCAGGCACAGACTGTCTGTAGGGTGCCTCGGCGCTGGCTGATGGAAGACAAATGCTTATTAGAATGGCCATT